GAAGATTTCTTCTGCTGTCAAGCTTGGACGAGCGATACACATGTCAGGATGCTGTCAGGGTGGGATATGACAACAGCCTCACATCCCTCTCATGAGCTGTAAGGCTGAATTACCTCCTAAAAAGAAAGTAAGAGGGGAAGAAATGTATCTCACCTTGATACAGACATAACCTGAGTAATTAGTAGTTTCAATCAGGAGACAATCCAGCCACTGTTGCTCTAGCAGCAAGCACCCACAGGGGTACCAGTGTCCCCAGAGCTTCCCAGTGTCCCCTAAGGTTTCAGGTAAGGGCACCTCAGAGGACCTGTCCTAAAGAGCTTGCACCTGAACATGCACATGTACAATGCTTCTACAATGCAATGCTTCTCCTTAGGGTCATAACTTCAGATATTATGGTCCTACTAACAGATTGACCTGCTCTCTTAACTGCTTCTCCATTATTTTTCCCTTCCACTGTTCCCTTTTCATAATTCTGACCCTGTTTTCATCTTTACTCCTTTTCTTTTTGGGGCAATGTCAGAACCTTTCAGTTTCTCAGAATTAGAGACAGCTAAGGAATTCTGTCAGCTCCAGCAACAAAAGCACTTCACTGAAGTATCCAAATAACACTGCCAGTGCCTCTTTTCCTAGCCTTTGTCATCATTTAGAGTGCTTTTATTTACTGAACATTTACATATTTTAAGACACATTAGCAGAACTTTGAGTGTTTTTGATAGGGTCCAGCATGTTAATTCAACAACAATTGTTTCATACATGGAAATTGGTGAAATAAAGATCCATGAAAAGTCTGGGAGAAAAGGATTCTGAAATGTTGCAATTTCTTTTCTTTGTGTACTGTTCCTCTGAGAAAGGGGAAAGATTGTCAGACAAGGAACATTAAAGAACTGGATTTCTTAAGACTTCAAGAGTATGCAGGAGAGACAGGATCACCAGACTCATCCAGAGTAAAGGTGGCAGAACAGAGGCAGTTTCTTGATAGTTATTTTTCTGTTAAAGACATAATATACATATGTCCTACTGTGCTATTTATTCTGTATTATTGAATCAGAATTGAAGAATTGTGGCTTTGCTATGTTATTTATTATGCAGAATTAATCTCCATGCCTATGCATGTTTACACCAAGGGTGCTACATTTACTTTCATGGAGACAAGGTGCAGGGTACATTACATCCCTGACATTTCATGTAGGCTCATAATCTCACATGCATTTCACACCACTTCACTCTACTAATTCATTACTAGAGTTGGACCCTGTTATCCCAGCAGCAGACACTCCAAATTAAAAATGACTGCAGGATCTAATCACTGAGACTTTCGGGTGTAATCGTTACCCAGTTAATGAGCATGAGTTAAAAATCCCATTAATTTCATTATAACACTTTATTTTGCACACACTTTCTGGACCTATGATTGCAGGCTTTGTGTAGATTGCCATGCAAATGATGCCTAAAGAGGCTGACCTGGAACAAAGGCTAGACAGAGTTAAAGGAATAAATTGGTATTTATTGAAAGGCCTTCAAGGGATACACCTCGGGCAGTACAAGAGCTTGGCCATGGCTCTGCCAAAGGTGGACCCAAGATGGATGCAAGATGCACAGCATGTCATGAATTGTCACACTTTTATAAGTTTTGGACCATATACATATTGGGGTCAATTGTCCAATTACAGCTTCAGGTTATGAAATCCCATCCTCCCAGATTGCTTTCCTCAATTCACCATTGTTTACACTTCTTGAGCCTAAAGTTGCAATGGTATCCTTGGTTCTCAAGCTGGAAAAGGATTGTTTTGTCCAACTAAACTGTGAAGAGACCTTGCTAACACTTTATATGAATTTCATAGTCACACACTAAGGCAGTACAGAATCTAAAAACTATGAAAGCTAAAATTCAAGGCATCACAAATACCTCATTGAAATAAGAGGTGTTATGTTCTGTCTGTGCCCAGCTCTGTTGGTTCCCAAACCCCGTTTCCTCACTGTCCTGCTTCTCAGATCTTCTGGAAGACTTTGGCTGCAGGTGACAGCACTGTGACCAGCGATGATCCTCTGAAACAAGCTGCTTTTCCCCATGTTTCTCAACATACCTGATCCAGAGCCTGCATCTGGCCCAACATCCACCAGGTCCTGTTCTTTAGTGAGGTTCCATACTGGATCTCACTTTTAATATGCCTGTATATATATTTGTAAGCTTTTGATATGTGTATGTAATTGGGAATCACTGTTCTCAAACTTTCCCTTTTGATTGGCCACAGTATAAATATGATCACTAAGCTATAAAGATATCTGTACACAAACTGGTCAAATTATGATGCCACAAAAAGCAGCATAATACACAAAACCACAGAATTATATAGAGTATAACTATTATCAAACTGAGTGTAACACACTAAAGTAATTCCTTCTGTAGCTGCCAGGGAAGAAAACCACTTTGACAAAGCAAAGCAAGGGAAGCTTAATAAATAAATTATACAAGGAAGGCAATTCTTAACCCTCTCCCTTTTAACTTTAATGGAAAAGTCTCTTAAGGAGAATAATTCCAAAGAGCTGCTTGGAATAGGGAAATGGATAGATGTTTTTCTAAGGGCAAAAAAGATAGGTGAAGCACAAATATGGACTTTCCTGGTCTGCACTGATCAGCACTTTGCCTTTTGCTTTGAAAGCTGTTATTACTCCCTAAATAACCTCCTTGTTGTTACTCCACTTTCTGTGTAATAAGGGTGGCAGCTGTTTGCTATCGTGCGTCACAAGTCTGAAGGTGTATTTTGGTGGTAAATACAGAGTATGAAACCCACAATTTGGATGTCATTCCCACAGCTCAACTAACATGCTGTCACTGTCATTTTAGCATCCTAATTACATCAACATCGTCCTTTGTGACTCTCACTGCAGATTTCCAATCAAAATGTCTGTGATGAGGGAAATAGCATTATTGCAATCAAACAGCTGAACAGCATCTCTAATCCTAGCTTGTTTAACTTCCCAGACACAGGACATAGATCTGAACAGCTAAACATGGCAGGAAAGTACACCTATGCTGTGACCTGCTTTGGCTTAGACAGCTGCTGAGGAGCAGCTAAACATGGATGAGAATTGCCAGACTTCAGTGCACCTCACTCCTGTAACATTGAAGGATGGTAAAGAAAGAGCATAACCAATATAATTTCTGCCTCTTAGTATCTTTCCTGTGTGCTTGCATACATGCATATGAATTCACACACACACACAAAAAGTCCCACATGATTAAATTATTCAAAATATTTTACCATTGGTTCTGATTCAATTTCATGGTAAACCTAAATCCAGGAAGCCTAAGGTTCCTGGGTTCTTCAGCACTGTGAATACACAGAGATTCCATTTTCCCTGAGAGATAACATTTCTAGGAATCACAGCAGTACTGCAAAGCTTAAAATAGTAATGTGCTCTACCCCAAAAACTAAGATGCAAAACATACAGTATTGATTGCAAAAAATCCTACTAGGAGACTGTAGGAAAGCAGCTCCTGAGTTTCACTGCTATTTCCAATTGAGTATAAAGAGCTTGCTGCTCGTTCTCTCAAGGCAGAGAGCCCTTAACGTGGAAGGTTTGAAATAGTCTCGAACAAATGCTCTTTTCTATCTTTTCTGCTTGTTTTTCTTCTTTTGATGCCACATAGGTCTGAACCATGACTGCAGCCTATTTTGTGTCAGGAGCAGAAGTTGTGCTGGATACACTTGGCTGCAATGCATCGTTAGGAACTGGTTTAGCAATTGTGTAGACCGAGAATAGTAAAATATTTTGAGTGATGCTCTCTGTGATTTGGAACTCATCAGAGGTGTGGAATGAATATGGTCTGAATAGCTCTAGCTCTATTACTGTAACAGAATAACTGCTCTAATTTGGAGAAATTTGCCACTGGTTGGATGCTCCTGTCCTGTTTTACTGCATCATAGGTCTATGTTAGTTAGCATGTGTGGTGAAGTTTTTTCTGTAAATTGTGGCTTTTTTTTTTTTGCTTTTCTCCTAAAATGATCCATGAATTTTACACTCCTACCCTCAGTTGGTATCTCTACCAGTGAAAGCACTAGTGAAACAAAAATTTCCTCTTCCCAGTAATGATATACACATTGCTGTCTGCACATTTGGTGAAGAAAGCAATGACTGTGGTTTGTCAGCACTGTCCTTGCTCCTAAAATATGAAGAAATATGAAGAATATGTTTATTTTGTGCAAAAAATACATGAAACTTTTATTCTGCTGGGAAAAGATATACTGAAGTCTAAAAAAAGGTTTCAGAGTTACTTATGCTATAAATAACTAAAAGTGTCCCTTTCCTTATTCTGTTATTAAAGAAAAAAAAAAAAAACTTAGGACTCTTGCAGAAGTCTCAGATCTAGGATCTGTTCTTGGGCTAAAACTTCATCCTGAACCATCAAAGCTGTCTGATCTGCAGCAAGTTTTCCCAAATGCACGTGGAGTTCCCATTCACATTCTAGTCTCTTTCACAGTTTTTTCCTCAGCTTGTCAATCTCACTACTTAATCAAGGTATCAGTTTTCAGCATTGCTCCCAAAGGATTGCTGAGCATTGTAGCAATTGCCTGGCTTTGGAAATCCTGGTACAGCCAGATATGTTACCTGTAAACAAATCTGTTTTTTTAAGAGATTGTGGAAAGCATAATTACCAGTCTGGTATTTAATTTTGCTATAAAGATTTTTATTACACAAATAAAATCTCCCTCTACACCAAAAGGAACAGGTTTATTTCACTGTAAACTTCTTTATACTTTAAAAGTATAATTTAATTCCTTTACATAGGCAACTAACTTCAGATTGCCATAAAAGAGAAGCTGTGATGGCACTTCTGACAGAAATTAGAAATGAGAGAGACCTATTATAAGTTTGAGTGTTGATGACATTTTACCTGGTCTGCTTGAATGTTGAAAGAGCTGATGGGGACACTGGCAAGTCAGATCTTATGCCTTGATTTAGTTTCCTCAAACAAAAATGGAGTTAAAGAGACTCACCTTCTTTGTACAGCATTCTGAAAGTAGGTACAGAAATTATCATGTAACTAATATCGTGTAACTGTTTCTCTTGTACTGACTGAATCCTCTGTTAAGGGAGTAATTGGGGTCTGTGACAGCTTTGGGCTTGTAAATCAGCGCAGATGAGATTCAGCAGACTGGAAAAGCAAAAATCAAAAAGTGATCTATCAGATTACTTCCTAATCTCAGTGTCATGTCAAGTGCACACAGTAGGTTGTAGTAATTGCAGAAGAAAGTCTGATTTGCATTTCTGGTAGGTCCAGATCACCAGATCATAGCCTCAATGTGTTTGCTTTCCAAATGAGACCAAAATAAATCATTTTATTCAGATATCATGGGAGCACCAGCTGTAATTTGCCTGAGCTGATGTATCCAACCTTTCAGCATGGCTTTGGGAGGGTTGACTGCACTGATGTCCTGCAAAACAACACGGAGCCGAGCGGGCTCACTTCTTGAGTATGGCCAGATCCACTGTGCAGCAAAGATCTGACACAGCAGAGACATTGTGGCAGTCCTTATGAATCACAATGCATTAGCACTCCTACTACTTTACTCCAAAGGGCAATGGGGTCAGAACTTTGCTCACAGGAGGCACGTACAGGTAATAATAATGCGCTGCATGGATCTTGTGTGTAAAGGATTTCCTGCTTGAAAGATTGTCATGCACTTTCCTTTACTGACACCAAGTTTTTTTAAGTTGAGAAAATACAGTTTCTATTTTAGTATGACTTCAAAGCCTGGAAAAAGCAGTTTTTAGCCTCAAGGTGATATGAAGAAGGAGAACACTGATGGGCACAGAGGAAAAGCAGACTAGGCAAATATACCCCAAGCTGATATGCAGTACAGCTATTATTATTATTATTACATTTTGTCTGGCTTTTTATACTGTATATTTAGAGGCTTGGTAGTAGAGAGGAATTAGCAGTCTCTGTTAATCTATTCATTACTTTCAGAGACATTTCAAATGCTTTTTTAGCTGGCCCAAAGAAATCTAAACCCAAAGAAATCAATAAGAAGAAGTAGACTACAACAGTTACACATAAGAAAAAAGAAAACAAAAGTATTTATGTAGTTCTGTCCCATGTTATCTTCTTTTTTTCTTACTGCATTATCAGTGTAGTTATGCCATTGTAGCACATTGCTATTTAAATTCCTTTACAAAGGTTATTTTTGAGAAAGTTTAAAAGTTTTCAGTTGTGCCATTGTCTCTGAGGCAAAAGTTACCTTGAATTCCTTCTTCAGTTTTCTTCTCTCAGGTACTTCAGATTATTTCCCCAAAACATGATTATCAATTCAGAGCTATCTTTTAAATGACATTTGAATTACAGCACTGATCACAGATAATTTTTTCTGTATTATAACTTTATTATGCTCTTAGTAAGCTCACAATATTGCTTTATAAACTTTGTTATAAGAGTAATAGGGAAGAATGAAGACTCTTATTTCTATTTTCTTTCAGAATCCATTCTCTGTGGGAGCTAAAGAAAAAAGAGCTAAAAAAAGGTGTTGTGACAATAAGAAGATTAAATATTAATTGTCAGCAAGTGCTTCCATTTCTCTGCAAAGACTTATATATAAAATTAGCTTTTAAAAGCTTCTTACAGAGTATTTTATAACTGTTTTACATGGAGTATAAATAAATCACCTAATTTTGGACTAGCCATTTAATAGACATAAAGAATCTTAAAGAAATTAACTCTTTTACATCCAAAAAATCCCTGTTAACTCTCACTATATGAGTCTAATTATGATGGCCACATTAAATTCCTAATTTAGTACATACTAATGATTTTGAGAACAAGTGTAATTTAAGCTTGAGCTAGATGTTGCAGAATTCTACAAAGTCCCAAGTCAAGACAATAAGCTTGATGAAACTCATCCTATTTGTGGAAGGAATATGGTCCCACTTTAAAAATCACCTGACATCCATATGTGACAGAAATCCATCACTGTTTTCAAAAATAACCTAGACATTTTAATTGGAACTTCAATCTTCTAAAAGTTAGGCATATTTTCTAAATTGGGTGTTTAATCTATTTTCATAGTTAAGGAGAGAGACTACTAAGTAAGTAATTCACAAAATAGCTGTCTTCTAGGGAGACTAGATGCTTATTTCTTATTTCCTCTAGGGATGTAGTTATAAATCCTTTTTTGGATTCAAGTGGATGAAGGAGTAGGATCTTTCTGTATTGGCAGGTGGGGAATGTAAGGAACATGTCTTAAATGCCGTTCTAGAAAATAGAAGAATAAAATCCAAATACCTTCTGTGTTTGATTTGGGTTCTTATCTTCCAGGAAAGAAATCTAACAACTAATCTGTAAGGAGGAATTCAGAAATAAGAGTCTTTGTGCATCACAGGTGAGACTTAAATACTTGACTACTGTAACAGAATGTGGTTCTCACCAGAACATTGTGGCTGTGGAGACAAAATCTTCCATCTGTGATGCATCCTAGAATACAGCAGCTTCATGTGACAGATTGCAGAATGGACAAATATCTGTTTTAAAATGAAACAAAACACATTTTAGGGACATCTTGTGACATCATAAGTCAGTGCTTTCAGCTACATCATGTCAATTAGGTATCCTTCCTCTCTCTCCGTGCTGACTTATGTGAAGTTCAGTCACGCTCCAAAAATCCTGAAGGGTTGAGACATACTATAGGGAGAGCATGTTTTGATTTGAGATTCCTAGGAGGGTAATGACTTTTTCCCAGGCTTTTGGTAGCTCAGTCACAGCAGAAAGGTCTGTGGCTTACTCAGAGCCAAGCAGCCAGTCTGGATTCTCATGCTGGAGACTTCACCAACAATTTGGATGAAGAGATCTCCGGAGACAGAAAGCCTACACAGCAGCTGAGAGGGTGGAATGTCCCACAGGTGCCTTAATATTTGAACTTAGGAGCATGAGTCGGTTGCCTAAGTCCTCTTCAATGAGACTTTGACTCTCTAGGCTCCATACGAAATATTTCCATAAGTGCCTTAGTTAAATGTTTTACTTTTATGTAAGGACCTGAAAATTCAAATAATACGCCGAAGGGAATTTACTAAAGATTCTGGGTATTATATTAAGCTGTTAACATTCCTACTTTCAAATTCTGTCCTCTCCATGCCTTGTACATGCTTTTGAAAATGAAATTTTAGAAATTCTTTCATAACATACTGTGAAAAACTACCCTCCCATTTCACTAGAAAAATGCAGAAATTTTGTTGCTTCAAACACTGACCTAATTTTCATACTGTCAGGTTTGCCTATAAAGAAGAAATAGAGTGTAAATGCAAGTCTTTTAGGGCTTTGATATGTTTGAAAACAAAATCCAATTAAACTCCTATATTTGCTAATCTTTGTCTTAATAAAGTTGCTGTGGGTGTTATTGGCTGTTTATACCATGAAAACATGGCAAAGCAGCATGATTATTTTCATATTTGTGTTTAGATATTTTACCATTATAGACACATGAGAAAACCTGCTTGAATCTTTTCAATATAGAAATCAGCAAATAGTTTTTAAAAGGAGAGAAGGTAATTAACTTCACTTCTTAATGATGCTCTTAATTTAAACTATGCAAGAGATGTTTAATGAGTGAGAGAAATGTTGCAGAAAAAACCTGTTCTTTGGTTAAAAAAACTAAATTAGAATCAGCAGAGTTTGAATCTATTTGCACATCTTCAGCAGACTTACTCTATGACCTTAACCAAAGTGTTTCATTTTTGTCCCTTGTGGTTTTTCTATAAAACAGAAATAATAAGAATGAACTTGCTGAGAGATTTTGGGCCTTAATTGTTTAGTATTTATATCTTCTGAGAGAATATAGATAGGATTGCAGAATGTGATGAATGATTAGCATTCTTTTGCTATTACCAAGCTCTGATATTTTTGCACAGCTATTTTATAATACAAAAATCTTTACTTTTTATAGCCCTGTATCCACCAACTACCCTGACTGAAATGCATTGAGCAACAAATGTGAAGTCCTTCTCTTGTCTCTTAAATGTAATTAGTGCCCAAATTACTCTCAAAATCAGTAGAGGACAATAATAGTCTACCTCCACTAATTGTACCTGCCAGGTCCACAGGAAGATGAGTAAAGAGTGACTTCCAGGTAAAATATATTTACACAATTTAATGGTTCAAAGTCCCCCCAAATCAGCACAAAACTCATTGTCTTCAGGCTTAGCGTGCAGGTCCTGGAGAATGGAAAAAACTTCAACTTTCTGCTTCTGATTGAGCTGGTGAATATGCTCATAAGCAAGAAGACAAGATTTGTTTTGCAGGTGATGAGTTCCTGAAGCACAGGTCTGGCCCCACAGCTGCTGGGTCTGGGTACCCCAGACAGAGCATGAGGCAAACCCCTCAAGCAGTACTAACAAAAAAAGGCTACATGGGTACCAAACGTGCTCTAATGGTTGGTGAATTGTTCAGAGAAACTGCAGAGTAGTACTTGTGATGAATAAGTACTGCTATTTTGATGCAACAAGCAATTTCCAACAAATACTTTCAAAAATTTCCTACATAGTTCAACAGACAGAGGTTAATGGTCTTTTTATGAAAACATTTTCTTATTGTTATTGGTCTTACTTTGTGCATTGTTACTTTGGATTGGGGTGTGTGGACAAAGCTCTTCAACTTCTTTAAATATTTGATGCAGCTAAGCAGGTGGAATTTCCCACCTGATTTATTTGTCAGCATAAGCTAGGAGAGGTTTTTCTGGTTATAAAAATAATTTTATTTTGCATGGAGAAAATTCTAATGTTTTCACACAAAATGTGTAACAAGACAACAAAACCAGGGAATTAGTACTCTTTCCTATCTACATTTAATCCTGCTCTGTGGAGTTTGCATATATGTATTCTCATATACATATAGTATATGTATATCAGAATATATAGTAATATAAATATATAGTAATATAAAATGCAATGACATCAGAAACATACTATACCTTGACTATAGACTAAGCTGAACTATAGCTCCTGAACTGTTATAAACAGGGTGCAAAACAGTCTATATAGAACTCTTATCTGTACATGTCTCCTTTACTTTCTTTTAAAATAAATATCTAAAGGGCAGTGTCACTACCCTGGATGTTGCAGACTCTGAAAAGCATTTTATTTGAAAACTGCAAGCAGCGGCTCGGGATATAAAGTCCATCATGCCATTACAAACATGAAATGAATCAAACAAACAAACTAAAAAACCCCAAAAGAAAATAACATCTATCCACAATAAACACAGATCCAAAAATGGTTTATGAAAGTATTGTGGTAAAGAAAATAACACAATAAAATAATTAGAAAATAATAAAATAAAATAATTAGAAAATATGCAATAAAGTTTGCCGTGTAATTATTTACTTATTTATTTTATTTATTATTTGAAATTATAATCTTTTTAATTTAAAATGCTATCAGTAACATGCAGAAATATAATAAGTTTTACTGTGATGAAGAAAACCAGCCTTTTCAGGACAGAATCATAGTCTCTTCTATCAGGCTTGAAGATAATTAAACATTTGTCAGTGTGACAGGTCCTAAATTCCCAGAAAATAATACAGGGATGCAAAAAATACTATTTCACATTCTTGAATGCTAAGGACATCAGAGCTACTGGGCATGACAAGTGAAAATGACAGATCTAACCATATAGCAAGTATGTTAAATTATGTTTGGAACAAAGTAAGAGTGCAAACTTTATGACTTACTAGTAAAAAAAAATTGAATGCCCTTAGAAGGACAAGATGCAGATATTTTTGACCAATATGATCATATTTTTAATGTGCCAAATACATTACATTACATTTACACAAATGTAATGTAATACTACATTACATTTAGTATCTGGAATACATTTGCAATCTATCAGATTAATCTAAGTGTCAGATGTGATTTGAAGAAGGAGAAGGAAGAAATGCAATTAGAATATAAAAAAGGCACAATAAGTTCATTCTTTCTTGAGTTATCGCTGTCCAACTTTCCCATGTGTTTGTCACACCTCTCCAGTCTCACCTTCAGGGTAAAGAACCAAACACGCAAAACATCAGATTTTGTATTTTGTACTCACAGACTTTTTTATCCTTTTCTAGCTATTTCAAATCCATTTAATATTTCAGTTGTAGTTTGGGTATTTTCAGACCTCAATAGAAGAGTTTCTTGTTTTTCTAATGGTAAAAAAAGTGAAAAAAATTATTTTTACCTAGTTCATGCACTAAAAGATTTCTCTTAGTTCACTATCATTTACTTTGTCAGTAAAACTCCTCTTGATTAGCCTCTGGTTTTCTTTGCAGTAATCCAAATTCTCCTTCAAAGCTGGGTCAAGGCTTTTTGAATATTCCCAACTTGCTGGTGTGTAGGGTAAGGATTTCAGATGAGTGTTGCAGCTTGCATGAAAACTGCCTGGTGTGCTAAGGATAAAACCAGCCTTGCCCCAAACACAGAGCAGGCCTTGGAGAACAGCTCCAGGGATAACCAGCGTGCTGCACACCCTTACCTTCAAGCAGCTGAAGAACACTTGGCTTAAAGCATTCAGTAGATGTGTTCTTGAAAGGCCAAGGTTGTACTTCAGGAACACATACTAATTTAAAATGGAATTAGCAGCTACTTGCCACAGTGAGATTTTCCACAGAGAGACTCTTGAGGATGCTTTGAGCAGATCTTTTACACAAAATATTGAAAATGAATGGCAGCACAAAACCTCTTAGCTCCCTACACTTACCAAAGGCATCTTTTCCTACTCCCTCACTTCCAATAGACTTTTTTTCAGTGTTTCTGTTTACCCCCTCAGAGAAATCAAAAGTGAGTGTGTGTCTTTGCTCTTTTTTTTTGCTCCATCTGATATCACATTAGCTCTGAGTCACCTGCATTCTCCTGAGCTCTCAGTCTGATCTTGTCTAGGAATTGTACTCATTAGCTCAGCTGAAACAGCAGCTCACAAAGACATCACTAGCATCATGTACAGAGCACAGAGTCAAGGTCAGGTTGCTTAACATATGCATTTGTTCAGCTGTTTCTGAATTTCCTCCTGCAAATGTGAGCTTGGGGACTGAGTTAGTTTGCTCAATGCTTCTAGAGATCCTAAATGGAATAATTTGATGTAAGGTTCTTACATCTGCAAAGCTGGGTTTTCATCTTTAATTTATTTTTTTTTTTGCTGTTGTTTTAAATACTATTTTAAAATTTCAGCTACTACAAATAGAAAAGATAGTATTAGAGTGTATTACATTATCTGAGAAATACTTAAATATATGTAAATGTCAGCTGTACTATAAAATGTGTGGAAAATAGTAAAGTTAAGACTACAAAAGGAAGTTGTTTTTTCCTGGTGGCTCTAAACTATGATATATATAATGAGAAAAATTGTGCCTTTTTCTCAAATTGAAAATCTGAAGTACATTTTCTTGTATACAATACACTTTATTATTCATATTCATTCTATTATACACTTTATTATTCATATTCATTACATTATA